ACGTCGCAAATTGCTTTGGCAGCTGCTTTTGCATCAAAATTGTTTCTCCAATAATGACGGAGCAATACGCGAAGCTCAAAATTTGTGATTTCGTAATCAGACATCTGAAAAAATCAATAAATTTTCACAATAAACCCTAAACCAGATCAAAAACACAGAAAAAATATATAAAAAATCATTTTTTAACGTGGCGCACGAACTTTTTCCTCAACCTACTTAGGGCAATCCAAAAGTAGTGAGGGAGGTATGTTACTTTCTTAGGCAGAGACGTAAAGAAATTTCTTTTTTTACCAATAGATAGAGCGTGTTTCACTCTATTTTTCTATGCTATTTGATTAGGTATGTCGCAATACCAATACTTGGTATTGAATCTTGGTATTGAGTCTTGGTTTTGACCGGTTTTTATGGTATTGGTATTGATGGTATTGATGGTATTGAATATTGGTGGTATTGGTATTGGTGGTTTTGACGTATTGATGGTATTGGTATTGCAAGTACTAGTATTGGTATTGAAGTATTGAAATGAACCAATTTTTCTACTCTTCGACATACATTACGCGCGGATGAGTAATGCGCCTATGACTAATTAGAATTAGAAAGTTATGCTTTCAGTGGCGGATCCAGAAAATTTTTTGCGGGGTGTGGAGGGAGTACCATCTGCCATGTGAGAAGTTTTTGATGGAGTGCGTGCCCAAAAACGAATCACCTTTGACCAAAAAAGATAGATACTTTTCGTTCGAGGGGAAAGGAATGCGGCCGCACCCCGCTAAACCCGCCACTGTATGCTTTCACGTGGTCAGAAGTACTGTAATCATCATGTTTTTACAGGTCTTAGTTTCTTCCTCATTGTTAGGATTTCTCTGATCTCTTCAGCATCAATATACATTATGTTGCGGGCCCTTATGATTACTAATTATTAGATTCAAAGAACATCGGATATCAGTCAAAAGTTGAGAAAAGACCAATGATTATGTCGGGTGCTCAAGACGTTCTTAAGTTGTTCGATTTCGCGCTTCAAGGATACTCTAAAATCATCAAGTGACGTCTATCGAGGGTAATCTTAGGCTTTTTGGTTCTGTACATCGTCGAAATGCGCGTATTCTAACGTGCGATAAGTCAGACACGAAGATTTGTACACACTGGACGATTTAGCTGTGCATGTGATCGAGATTGCTGGTATGAGGATCATCTTGAGAATTAATTTGCGATGACAGTCTCTCTCAGGGCAATCGTTCCGGCGGTTGAATCCGACCGAGCACAAAGGACCTCGACTCTTACCAGCACCGGTTGTCTCTTTCATGATTTGTATTCCATCAAAACAGTAGTTTGTTTTCTATTCATAGAAATACCATACAGCATGTACGAGATCCGCTAATGTCGATACACAATTACATAATGAGCTTCACGTTTAAACAAAAGACGTGTCCCACATACTTTGTTGAGAGCTGTCACCAAAGACTATCAACAAGTCAGAAAATGTCAGTTAAAACTGAATCCAAGTTGTTCCGTCCCAGTCAATATCATTGCAAAACGATTGAATGCACGAAGAGTATTTTCTTAGACTTTCTGAAGTATTTGGTATGCGATGATCGACTCTGCTGAATTCTATACCAATGATTTATCGATATACGATTACTGTGCGCCGAGCCTAAATGGGCTTTTGCAAGGTAAGTGCGAAATCTTTATGGTATATTTTTCTATTCTAAGAGACTTACGCTGCCAGATACCATGACACTCAATTGGGAAGTATTTGACACATTGAGTCGTTCTCTTGCTGCTTATTTGGGAAGTAACGAAAGCGTCGATTCATACGAAGTCATATGAAAGATCACATATTCACTATGCTACGAATTCAGGCTAAGATTCACGGTGAAAAATGAGCATGGACGATAAAAAGAAAAATCAAAATCAAAGAAACTAACAGGCGCGACGTAGGCGACGCATATTTGAGCTAGAATAGCCCACGTGGAACGCTCGGAAAGTAATGACATCACACGAAAAGTACGATTGGTTGTATATAAGTCACTGGACTATGTGAGATGGACAGAAAGAAAGAAAGCCACGTGATCGAACCGAATCAGTTTAAGAGAGAATAGCTGAAGAGCGAAGAATTTATTTTGTCCTCGCTTCAAATACACTCTTTCCGACCAGGCAGAAGTGTTCAGATTGGCAGAAGAATGGCACCTAAACGAGCAAAGAGAGTTGTGAATGTAACGACCAACTCGAACGATAATAACCATCTTTCATTTCAAACACAGGTAGCGGGATCCGGATATCAGTCGAAATCATTCACTACCAATCAAAGCTCAACACAAGGTATCGCCGGTTTGACAACAGGAGCTGAAGGGGGTGAGGACGAAAATCAAGAGAATCGAAGCGATAGTCAACTACAAAGCGTCAACAAGCGGCACTCCGACGTATGGGAGTACATGAAGAAGCATGACAATGACAAAGCGAGCTGCAATCGATGCGGGGCAGTGCTGAGTCGAAAAAACGGTGGAACTACTGGCTTGCGAAAGCACCTGCATCAAATGCACAAAATGAATCAATTCGCAGCTTCCTCAGTAACGAAAAAATCACAAGGGATCAGGTTTCCGTCGGAGATGAAGAAGAAACTCGATACACTAGTCGTTGAATGTGTGATCGAAGATGGGAGAAGTTTCGACGACTTAAGACGTTCGGGCCTTCTAAAGATATTCAAGCAGGTGGCACCAGGTTAGAGTAGTCTGATTGATGACTCGATACGCTTGTTTCCTTTTCGCCTAGGGTACACACCTCCTCATCGACAAACAGTTCAAAAGAGGCTCGTTCGATTGTATTCTGAACACAAACGGCGCTTGATTAATCGATTGTCTACTGTTTCATGGATTGCAATGACATGTGATTTCTGGTCAGATAAACGCTTATATTCTTATCTGTGTATCACCGGTCATTACATCACGTCCAATTTCGAACCGAAGTCAGAAGTTCTTGCTTTCTCGTCATTCGAACAGCGACATTATTCTACTAATATTGCCCATACTCTTCAAGAGAAACTGAAGGAATTAAACATACTGGAAAAAACCACCACGATAACAACGGACGGAGCCGCGAATATGGTGAAAACATTCGAGTCATTCAGATCGGGAATAAAACGCGTTGGTTGTAAGTACATTCAACAAAACTTCGTGACTACAGCACGCTGTCCATAGGTATTGCTCATCGATTACATTTGACAGTATGCAATAGCCTTGGTCTCTGGATGCGTAAGAAAAAACAGCCAGCTTCCTCTTCGATCACAACAGCAGCATCTACGATCGCAGCACTAGATCCAGATGATTCCGACGAAGAGGACTATACCGATGACGGGTGTCTTTCACCTACTGTTTTATTTAACAAGAATATCGTTCGATCAAGTGACGACTCGCAGCTATCCATGGATGTTGATGATGACGCCATGAGCGTTGGTTCAAATGACGAGGATCAACTCGTCATCGATGACGATATCGTCGAGGACGAATTCGATGATTCATGCGCCGATCTTGTTGACAACTGGTCGCAAGACGTTGTGGTGGAGTTTGATCCGTCGACGTGCGTAGCGGAACAAACATCAATCGGGCTTCTCATGAAGAAGTGCCGCACGTTCGTGAAATTGGTGAACAAGTCGTCAATTCTAAAAGGATACGTGGATAAGCTCAAGAAAGAATTTAAAGTGAAGCGTTCACTGCAAATGGATTGCAAGAGCCGATGGAGTTCTACTCATTATCTTCTTCAAACGATGACCACTTACAAGAAGTTAATTAATCGGCTCTACAGCGAAAAACATGACATTGGATTGAATGATAAGCAAGTTAAAAAGCTCATATCCATTGAATTGGACAAATTGGACTGGACGACGATCGAAGCCATCGAACGTGTTCTTCATCCGTTCGCCAAAGCGACTAAACTCGTCAGCGGCAAACAATATCCAACAATCGGCATTAGTTATTTTGCTATCTCTCAGATTCGAGAGTACCTAGAGGATGAACAATCCTCTGACTCCAGTGATCCGGACATTCTTTCTCGTTTAAAGCAACTCCTAATATTCTACATGGAGAAATACTTCGAGAAGGATGTCGATCAATGGAACCTACTCAAGGTGAGAAAGTTCTTTGCTATTTATCGGCTTAACTTGTTCTTTTGCACAGAAACATGCTTACTTTGATCCGGTGGGCTTCGGTGTCCTTCAGCGTGCGGAACGACGAGCAATTGAGCGTGAGTTGACCGAGTTATATGAGAAAGTGGCTAGCGAAGCAGTCGACAACACAGAGAACGAAATGGATGGACCGTTGTCGTCGAACAACACTTCAACATACATACCTCGTGATTCAAAACGATCGAGAATGATTGATTTCTTGGACTCGATGGACAGAAAGAAGGTGGCCTCGTTACCAGTTCGACGATCGAATTCGCGCAACTCTTTGGGAGAAGAGCTTTCAATATACCGGTCACTGGCACAGAAACGTTACAATGAAGTTGTGGAAGGTGTTGACGATGGCGATGCTGTAAGCTCAAGGCAGTCAGTAGTGATTCCTCTGTTAACCGATCGTCTTTATGCCGTTTAGATGGATTTCTGGCGACTACATCACGCTCAGTTGAAAATATTGTCTACCATGGCTGTACGTTTTCTTTGTACACCTGCTAGTTCGGTTCCGTCAGAGAGTGCCTTCAGCACGGCTTCTTATTTGCTGCGCAAACAAAGATCTCGCCTTGACCCGTCGAATTTATCATACTCGATGTTCTTCAAAGACAAAATGAACGAAAACTGATCAGCTGGACGTCAGATAATTTATGAATTCATGCGGGGAACATTGAGCGCAATTTGAACTATGTTTTATTACGCTGTTTTGAAAAAGATTTTTAGTTTATTCTTTCATTTTATCCCTCAAGTCCGTTCTAATTAATAAACAGGGGCGGTAATGAGTGCTGGGAACGTAGAAAAGCTTAAATCGTTACGTGTGATTGAACTGCGTTCAAACCTATGGTAAACTATAAAAGACGTTTGATAGAAGAGTCGGCGTTCATTTAACAGACATCTAACGGTTATGTGCTTTTAACCACACTTTCACAACTTATCTGATAATCAATACAATGCAGATTTTTATATTAGATAGACGACACCTTGTCGATGACAATACTTCAATACCAATACCAATATCTTCAACGCCAATACCATCAATACCAAAACTGTCAGCAAGGTCAATAGTATTGGTACTGATACTTTCAGTACCAATATCACACTACTCCCAATACCAACAATACCGTCAATACCAAAACCCAAGAGTATTGGTATTGCGACATGCCTATATTTGATCATTATTAAACTGTTATCATAATAGTAAAATATCCATAAAATCTGTTTTTGTCACATAGATGCTGGTAGCATGACTGCTCGTGTATATTTGTGGAATAACTTTTGAGAGAAGCATGATGGAGAACTACGGTTTTCACCATTGAAAAGAGGAGATGAAGACGTATCGAACCTTATATTATTTATTTTTCTAATATGATTTATGATGCTTTTTTTATTCAGTTTTCTAATTGTCGAAAAAATGCTTCTTTTATGAAGAAAAGAAAAAGTAAAAGATTTGATGGAATATCGTAGTAAAGATTCGTTCAGAATAGGTGTTATATATAAATAGTGAAACTAAAACAGGCGAATCTTTCGCAATTTCTAGATCTTCCATTAGCGATTTGAATGTGAACATAATTATTAAAAATTCACTATCAACAACTCATACAAGAGGTTTGCTCTTTAAAAAGTAAACTAAAACCATACAAAAGATAGGTTAGAAAAATCGATTACTCGAAGTTCGATGCGTCTTCATCTCCTCTTTTCAATGGTGAAAACCGTAGTTCTCTATCATGTTTCCATCAAAAGTTATTTTGAAAATACTCACAAGCATTCTTGTTCATGCTACCAGCATGTATGTGACAAAAACAGATTTTATGGAAATTTTACTATTATGATAACAGTTTAATAATGATCAAATAGCATAGAAAAATAGAGTGAAACACGCTCTATCTTTTGGTAAAAAAAGAAATTTCTTTACGTCTCTGCCTAAGAAAATAACATACCTCCCTCACTACTTTTGGATTGCCCTAAGTATATCTTACTTGATTCCATGGTGGTTCATGAAGAGATACTGATGACTGTTCAACAACGCGCTTGAATAATAATTCATAATCTTCATAACTACATTGACCTTGACGAAGTCGTTCAAGTAACTGAAGATATGGTATGTCTTCTGTTCGCATCTGTTGAGTAAGTTTGACCACACAATTCATTTGTAGAATTAACGAACGTTCCACACGTTGTTGGATTTCTTTTTCCGAAGGTAATTTATTAAATTTCTTTTATATTTACCGGCGAAAAATCAGTGTGTAACGGGGCAACGTTACTGGCCGGTACTGTAAATAATCACCAAAGAATATAACGTTTATACCACCGAATGGAATTTGCGGATCAGCATGTTTAGCGGCACAAAGAATTCGATTGAGTTTTCCGAGTAAAGTCAATCCAACCATACTCATTTCATCAATCAAGAAATATTCTACAAGTGTCTATTCTTTTTCCAGTTTCAAATCACCTAGTTTAATAGTTCGTGGCTTTCCTGAATTGCGTTGTTCACCTAAAAACGATTGAATAGTCATACCACCAATTTCAGCGGCTGCAATTCCAGTAGGTGCTAGCTTTCGCATCTTTTGTATTCTGTTTGTAACACGAAAATATTCAGTTACAGCACGAATAAGTTGTGATTTTCCTGTACCACCACACCCGGGTATACACATGATACGCTGGCCATTGTTATCTCCTATATGGATGATATTTTTCAATTTATGATTATATAGAACCATGTGCATGAACATACCTGCGTGTGACGGTTTGTCGCCATCAAGGTGACTTGTGATTATCATGAATGCAGCTTTTTTGCTCTCTCTTTAGTGTGTATCGATCAGCGACGCTCTTTTGATTACAATATGTTGTACTTGCTACTGAAGCAACTGGAAGAAGTGAGTTATAATTATCAGACATGTTCATATTTGAATTAGTTGAATTAGTTGCATTTATCAGTGTTACAACTGTATCTTCTATATCGTCCATGTTTGACTCGTCGCCTGTTTTATAATGTTTACCAGTGATTAAATTTCGTCTAACTCGCTCTCTTTCAACTTTCAATTGTCCTTGCCATTTAGTATTGAGTCGAACGAGATCAGATGTTGAAGGAACAAATGGTGTTATCGGTTGATAATTATCAGCAAATGATGCATTTATCAAAATTTGATTTCGTGCTGCAAGAAAACAATATCACTTTAAAGCTGAATCGTTACGATTTGATATTGCTTACTATGTGTATGAGAGAATTGCCCCATTCTATCTACAGCTTCTATGGTTTCTTCAATATATATATTTTCTGCAGATTTTTTGCGCTGTTCATTGCAACTGTAGTAGAATTGTTTAAACTACCGAGCAATTCAAGTAAATCTTCACTGTCACTTGTATCATCGTATTCATTGTATGAACTTTGATTTTTTGGAAAGAGTTCCGGATCGATTGTGTTATTTTCAACTTGAGCTTCTGTAATCACTTTCACTAATTATTCATCTCGGCCTTTTTTGCATTCACGTAAAATTTGAATATTATCAATGATATTCCACGAGTGCACAGATATCTGGTACTGACGAGAGTCAAGTGCATGTTCCCATTTCTGGTTCACATCACAAAGGTCAGATACAATTCGCCAAGGCGCAAAAAGTTTAAGAATAGCTCGGCAATATCGCTCTTGGGTGTTTCACGATCTCGCCGAGGTATTTGAGGAGCATAAAGGACTGGTACACGATGTTTAGTATGTTTCATCATTAAGTAGATTGTTGCTTGAGGATGTTGTTTTTGAAAAGGAAATCGTTGATTAGGTGGTCGACCTTTACGATTATCTTGTTCTTCTCTTCCTATAGAGCTTTCAGCTAACATATTTTCAATAAGATGCGTTGATCTTTTTCTTATAAAATGCGCTAACAAAATCGTATAAGCACACATTATCGAGAGTTCCTGATCGATACTGATAATCAATCCGTCCGTTAACTAGCAAGAAATCGTTTTCCATTTTCATTTTCAACAGATTGGATTTGAAAATTCTCTTCATTAATTATTTATATCGTTTGCATTCTCATCATTGAGCACATTGTCATTATGGTCATCATCATTATCATCCATTACATCTGTGTGAAAAAGGAAAAGATTTATTGTTGATTAGAGTTTTATGATTGCATATCTTTACGTTTCTAATAATAAGGGAAGAATTTTCCTAGAATAATTCCATCCAATTCCTGTGACTTATTTACGTGATATATTTGATGTGACAACAATTTTTTTATCACAGCTGATATCATGTTAAATGTCTCATTATGTCTTCCTTCATGATGAACGTATGATACTTTTTTCTTTCTGTTACACTTATTGATTGTTCATATAACAACTGTTTCTTCTCTTTCTTTCATTCTTTCCTTCCATCACAGCATGTAACGTCTCTTCCGTTAGCTTATTATGTCTTAATTGACTTTTCTCTCTTTTCTTTTCTGTTTCTCATATTCTTTCCCCTATTTCTTTTTTTTTCTTTCATCCTCTTCTTCTCCCTCTGAGTGTTTCAACATACAAAAAGAATAAGTCTCATTTGAACAAAACCGCAACTGTAGGAGAGATGAATCGCAAAAAAAGTATCATATTACCATATAAATTTGTTTCTAAATTTCGTTTGACACGTAATTCACTCAATTCTATCTCTATGTATAGATCAGTTTGAATCAAATAAAGTCCTCGAAATTTGTGTCTCGTATAATGATCGTTCCAATTCATAAGATAGGGAGCAACTTGAGCTCCAGAGAATTCTTTTTGAGACGCAAGTGTATTATAGCAGCCTAAAACAAATTTACGTGATCTTTCAGTGACAGTGTTAAGGAGGTGTGGGCCGACCCGGACCCGTCCGAGTTCAAATGTAAATTTATAGACTTGACCTTTAATTAACCTGTAAATTCAACAAAACCAAGTCGAATTCAACGTATTATGTGGTATTTGTATTTTCTTTCCAAAGATTTCACAATTCTTTACAATCCTTCAACAAGAAAACAAACAATTCCAATAGTAAATCTAATATGAAATTAAGAAAACTGGAATTCAGAACAGTAACATAATTAATACATCTATAGTATCTTCCATAGGGTTTCGATGCTACATTTTATAACATAAAAAAGGAGATATATTTGTATCTGTGTTCAAATCTTGTCAATACTTTTGTCATGTATATCAGTATATTCGTATTCGTAACTGTCAGATTCATCTCCTTCGATAGTTCGAGACCCTTTAACGTTCAACGAAGAAAGGGATTCTTCTGACTCTACTTCGTAGCTTTTGTCGACATTATTGAATGTTGATGATCAGTATGTTGATAACTGCGTCAATCTTTGTTTTTTGTGGATTTCAAGTGCATTGTTTCTGTCTCAGTTCTTTGAGTTGTAACAGGTTCTTATTCAAAAGTAATGATTTGTTGACTTTAGAAGTTTGTAAATTTGTTCGTTGAGCAGAAAGTGTGTTATTTGCTTGAGAAAAGAGACGTTCAATTGTTGTATTAGACGCTGGAATACTGTATAAAGACATCACGATCGAAGCAAGAGTCGCAAATAATTTTTCCAGAATAATAGAACATCATCATTTGCACTAATTGTCTCATTTAAAGCTAAATAACGTGTCAATTCTTGGTCCAACGGAACAACAGCTTCTGAATCCTGTTCTTCAATCGGAAGATCAAAGCTTTCTGAAAGTATATTCTCTGCTGTAGTTGATTGATCAGGTTGCGGTTTTGTTGCTGAAGAAGAAGAAGAAGAAGAAGAAGAAGCTATACTAATACTTGACGGTGGTGAATCACCGACTGCACATGATTGACACTTCAATATTTCTTCTTTGTTCAGATCAATTGTTTTTCGCTTCTCATGAGGAGTAATTTGAAATCGTATAAATGATGGGTGCGATAAAGTTGATACATAATGAACATCGTGCAAGATTTACGCTGCTTTCGAACGTGGACCTGCAATCAAATAGGAAATATGAAACATAAGGTAAATGATATGTTTTAATGGTATTATTTATGCGAATATCGTTTAACGCTCTTCTTGTTCATAGATGGGAAAGTGAACGAATAATTGAAATTTTAAAGCATTCAACATAATGACTTACACAAAAAGACTTTCAATTCTTTGATGCTATCATGATCAATAGTTTTTAAATCACAATGATTTAACAGACGTTGTCGAAGAGGAAAAACTTTATAAATCGTTGGCGTTTTATCTTCGCTAAGTTCTTCCATAACTTGGTCGAATACTTTCAAAAACGAACAGATTTGTTCTAACAGATCTCGATACAATAATAAGAAATAATTTAAGTGTGTGTCGTCGAGAATAACAAATAATTCACCGAATATCAGTAGAAAAACATTGATAAGCGTCATTGAATCGAGTATCAGAATATGTCTGAACTCGTTAAGATATTTTCGTCTGTTTATGTGATTTTCTCCAATACTGTACATTGGTTTTAGCTTGTAGAAATAGCTCTTGAGCTATCCCACATGCTACAGATACTTTTTCGACTTCTTTCCTGATGAAAGCATGTTCCAACTGCTTCTTAATACAATGTGCTGAACATCCAACTCGTTGACATTTCGATTTAAATGTAGTACCCATCTTGGTTTCATTGTCACTCACACCATAAATAGAACCATTTAATTGAGAACCGAATTCAGCCAATATCGATTCGACAAATTTCTGGTATTCATTGCAGAAAACAATTCAAGGCCATACGGATAACAACTCAAGATAAAACAGTTCAATTTCTAATCATTCGAAACATGATGTAACGAAATACCTCCATAGTGAATGCCTGAAAATACGAAATAATATGGAACTCAAAAAATGTAACAATAGATCACTTGCGTGTATATATGTAACCTGTGTATTTATCGGTAAATCCATGAAGACCCATTCACTTTTTGGAAGTCTTTTTCTTCGATTTTTTCACTCAAATATATCAGTATGGTCTAGAAAACACTTATGATTAAAAAAAATTTAATACTTTCTATCAAAAATTCCGAGTTCTTGAGTGACTTTTCGGAACATCTTTCGTATACTTTTACATATAGGGAAAATGTCATGGAATCGGGTAGAGTTTTTTTTAAACAATATGTTGGGTATTTTGTGGTAATGAAAATTGTAAACGAAGTCGAAAAACATGTTTCTTGAGAAACATCAGACGCATCTCATTGAAATTATTGACCGCTCAGTCGTTTACTGTGTAACCATGAACGTAAGAGTCAAGAAATCTAGTAAAAGGAAGGAATGAAAAGAGTTGTCCACCCCATCTGAACGCTGACTACCATCATCAAATCTGGTTTAAAACTTTTGATTAACTAGAAAAGAAAATAAAAGAATTTTTATTTAAATGTGAATCTTCTGATCTTTGTTGAATGAAACGACAAACTAAATTGAACCGTTGAATTGTTGATCGGTTGGAATTCATGCATACTTTGAATTCCAAGTATTGTACCTAGATCAATACAGACATGAAGGGATAGAAGCAAAAGTGTCTCTCACCTGTGTTTCAAAGTTTTTCGCTTCTAGCCTTCATATAACTGTTCTTCGTTTCTTCTACTTCATCCGATTTGAGAAAAAAAAACATCAACACCAGGAATATTTTTGTCAGATCTTCTCCGTTTCCAGTTGTTGCTTTTGTGTAAATTCGAAGAAGTCTTTTGCATTTGACATCAGAATATTCTTCGACAGCGTAGCACGTCTAGCCGTGGATGACATTGTTTTAGCAACAACGAAAGTGTTATCTGTTGATCGAGAAGGTAACTGCTTGATATATTCACGTTGTTCGCGATTAATATGTTTGTGAAGCGAGAATGGAGGCCATTTTTCTTCAATTTCCGTTAATAGAGAATCAATTGAGCCAGACATTTGTTGAAGGTCAAACTTGTTATTGACTTTTTCCCAGACTCCATGAATATTCGCCATCCAAATCCATTATGTTGTTATCTGTGAGAATATCTGTAATGCTTTCCGTTGAACATTCATCACATTCATCATCGAAGCACTTTTCATTTGAGGCAGTGCAAACCATTTGAGTGATTAGATCCTTCATATTGAACTTGCCATTAGTTGATAAAGATCCTACATTAACACACTTTCGGTAGTAGTTGTTCCATCCCTGTAACAAAACTTCGTTACATTCGAACCAATATACAGCTGATACAAACCATCAATAATAGATCCATCTTCCCATGTATAATACACAGACACGTTTCATGTGGTGTTATAGTTTTTACTTTACGTGGTCGAAGAGCGTTAAAAGTTGATCTTGCAACAGTTCTCGGATGTCGTTCATTGAAGATCTGATAAGCATCCAAGGCAGTCATTTCTAAAAACCGAAGTACCACTGATTGTCCGTTGATTTTAATTGTGTCTTTGAAATTGAATGAGGTCCGACTAGTACCATCTTCGCGATAGAAATCGACCACAGCATCAATTGTTGAATCAGATAAAGGAATATTCCCTCGTAGGCATTGTGTATAGGCTAATATTCCATTGTTTTTTCGAAGAACAAGCGTTCGTCGATTCTGATTTGGCTTTGAGTTAGACCTAATAAAATAAATAGAAGAAGTTCTTCGCAAAATTTGATTAAGAATTACGAAAATATTGAAAATAATGACAGTAAAATACGCACCATTTTTCAATTTTCTGTCGACCCCATTCTTTTGGAGCAATTGTCATCGAACGAATTTGTTCACTATCATCACTGTCAGCATATAACTTCTTTAATCCATCCAACAGCTCATTTGATTTAGCTATAATACCACTATCCATATCAGGATTTTCTTTCTCTTCTTCACTCAACTCATTAAATTTCATATTTACAAAAACATCATCATTTGGGTCTTCATTGACAGGAGAAACTTCTGTCATCGTCGTTAAACTCCATTGATTGATGACTAATCATTTTCTTCGATTCATATGCATGATATGTTCCATATAATCAGCAAATTCGAGTGTAAGCCGTATCATATTCACTTGTCAAAAATTTTGATAGCCCTGATGACGCAACCATTATTCCTTTTGGTATACGTGCTGATTTTCCATGCTTCATCGGATGTTCACAATTTTTTCGTCTCGGCATTTTATACGTTAGGAATCACCACATGTGTGGATAAGACTTAACGTTTAAAGATGTCCTCAAGAGGAAATGGAAAATCTATCATTTCAATAGTAGTGTCCATTCGACTTCGTTATATCACTTCTGCAAGCTGGTATAGCGACAAAATACCATTCAGTACTGAAAGATTTCAATGAGATAGGTTTGACGTTTCTCAAGAAAGATGTTTTTCGACTTCGTTTACAATTTTCATTACCACAAAATACCCAATATATTGTTTAAAAAAAACTCTACCCTATTCCATGACATTTTCCCTATATGTAAAAGTATACGAAAGATGTTCCGAAAAGTCACTCAAGAACTCGGAATTTTTGATAGAAAGTATTTAATTTTTTTTAATCATAAGTGTTTTCTAGACCATACTGATATATTTGAGTGAAAAAATCGAAGAAAAAGACTTCCAAAAAGTGGATGGGTCTTCATGAATTTACCCTTATACTCTTGACATCAAAATGTTTTTCTTATTCATAGTTAAAAGCTTTCAAATATATTATAAAATCATTATCTCTAATATCTTTATTTATATACATCATTAGTACCATTTAAATATCTCGAGAAAAAACCTTATTGAACACGACTTCATCAATCTTCATTAAGTTTTTTCAGTTCGCTGCAATTATTACTTTTATGAATACTAAAACCAAGTTCACAATATAATCCGCTTGAACAATTCATTATGCCTTTTTCATATATAAATTTGAGAGATGAAAAAGAGAAGATTATTATACGGTAGATGCCAATGAAAAGAGCGAAAATTTTGATTCGAATGTAGTTAATAGATTTTCTTGTAAACAAATCATTCTGTTTCTTTGCTAATTGTTAAAGATAAAAACATGTATTGATTTCAGATCTTTTTTTCTTTATAAAAATGTCATCGTTAGGCAGTACATTTCTTTTGATTCAACAACAATTAACTCGTTGTGTCTATTCAAGTTATCTAACTTTTGGTATTATTGGTTGCATTCTTAATATTATACTCCTAAACCGACGGCCATTTCGCACGATGTCTTGTTGTGTGTGTAAGTTTTTACTAAAAATCAAACGCATTATAAATCATATTTTACTTTTGTCTAGATTTCAGTGTAGGTTCAGTGCCAATGTTAATCTCTCTACTTTTTGGTACTTTACCACATTTATACGCACTCTCTGGTATCAATCCAATAATAACAAATGTCACCTTTTGTCGAGTCCGTTTTTATATAGTTCATTCGATGACTTTCATGTATCGATGGCTTTTGGCTGCTGCATGTTTTGATCGTTATGTACTGACTTCAACAAATAATCGATTAAGAAATTTAGCATCAGTTCGTATTGCTTATCGTGTAATTGTAATAAATAGTATTATTTGGTTAGTATTACCCATACAAATTCTTATTCTCTTCAATGTAAGAGATAATAAATGCGGAATTGTCTATGACATTAATGCGGCACTTTATTTCAGTTGCTATGTTCTTATATTTGGATGTTGTCTTCCCATTACTATTATGATTATTTGTGCTATGCTTATTCATAGAAATCTTCGTCTCAAAAGGCAACGTCGTTTAGAACTTTCATTACATGGTCATAATGGCGAACAAAATGCAGAAAAAAAACGTGATCAACAAGTATTTGCAATGCTTTTGCTTCAAGCAGTCGTTTTTATCGTAACTTTAACACCTTGGACTATTCTAAATTTTTATAATGCCTTAACAATTTATATTACAAATAAATCAACAGACCGTGTGGCTATTGAACAATTTATTGCTTATATAGCTGAAATAATAATAGTTTTTTTTCCTGCTACATCATTCTATGTATATACAATGGTTTCAAAAGCATTTCGCATTGAATTAAAAAAACTTTTCTCACATTTATTATTAATATTCAAATGTAAACGTCATCCAAATCGAATTCATGCATTGGTCAATGTCGGATGAATTCGGGCACCTTGTTATCTCTGATTGTAATGAATAAAGAACAACAGTAACTTAGGTTAAATGAAAATCATTGACTTTGTTTCATCGTCAACTTTTTTTTACTTTCTTGAGAAATTTATTCATGATCACAATTACTATCGTTAAAATAAACTTGCAACAAGACACAAAAATCTTAAAATTCACTATTGTGTGAAAATGCTCGATACAGCTAACAACGCAATTTTTACACATATGGCGTGAATCTGTGTTCTTTTTAGTTATGTTTTACATGAAATGTTTGAGAGAACACATGACTGATGAACCAAATATCTAAGGAAAGTTTCATCAAAGTCATAACAATTGAACCAGAAATCCCAACACATGTAAATCTTATGATGTTAGTAGTTGCTCCTATGTATATAGGTATTCCAGTGCAAACGTCACATATAATGTACGTTCCTATCCTTTACACCCTCACCCACACCCTCACACCCTCACACCCTCAAGATGGTTTTATGAAGGCTCGAACTGAATAGATTCGATAAGTCTTTTAAATTAATTTGAATATTTTATGTCAAAACGTACACTTAGATGAGAATAACTTCCACTTATAGGAGAAATTCTTTCAGAAGAATACAAAGTAATCTCTCAGTTCTTTCCAAAAATTTCTAAATGCAATGAAAGGTTGATTGTGTATCTGTACTTACCAATTTCGCACATCGTTGTTCACGCGTGACATTCTTATCAAAATAAATATCGGATTTTTCAAGCAATAGCTTCTTCAAGCCATCTTCTAAAGGAGAGTTAGGACTCTTGTTTGTTAAATGAAGAAATAATTTGTTGGTAACCCAATATGATAATGCTAACGTAGGATAATTTCGACCACATAAACATTTTGTTGCAAAATAAAATGGGGCCAAGATATCTACTAATGAACGAATAAATTCCCATTCCAAATGATTAATTTGAAAAGAACGTGATTTTTTAATTTGTTATGTTCTTAAACCAATATGAGATTGAGGTGAATATGTTAAATTGTTCAGTATTTCGTATGCTTCTTGTACGTGTCCTAACATCATGAATGTCGAATTCCATCGAACATGAAAATCACATATTAAATCGAGGACTTTTCCTTTAATATTCGGGTTATCATTTTGATTAATTGATCTGTCTAAACTAATTCATTTTGATTGAACCTCGCTTCGAACAAACGACGTTAAAATGCTCGATTTGTTTATCATTTTGATCAGTTTTCGAATTTTTTCTAATAAAATAGAAATCCGTTTTTTCAATTCATCAGGATCCCATAACAACCGGTTAATTTCTTCAGCTTCTTCGTCATCAATTGCTCGACGACCTTGCTGGGGTTGAACCGATAAAGAATTATTGTCGTCATCTGAGCAATCCGAGTCACTATCGCTATCATCACGATCTTCGTCGCCTAATGTCGATACATATTCACCACCTTCATCATCAGTTACATAATCTTTGTCGTTATCTATCCATTCGTCAAAAATAGATCCAAGGTCAGTAAGACGTAACCCTTCTATTTCAGCATCACGATCATGAGTTTATTCATTGGATACAGTTGTTGCCATTGATGTAGCTGAGGGTGTTGGTGTCGGTTCTGTTTCTCCGTTAATTGTACTAAATATAGAAAAATAATTGATTCAAGTGTACTAGATGGTTCAAGAGAAGGATAGAAGCAACAGTTGGAAATACAAAACAATCTAAGTAATATCATATGAATAACATTTATGGAAAGTAAACATGAAAGCAGATCAACATTGAAATGCTCTACTCTTTCAAGATGAGAAATTGATTTACCTTTTCGGTGTTTTCTTCCATAAATCAAAACCAGTTGATATCAGTCGATTGATATTGTGAGCATCACAAGAAAATTGAATTCCAAATTCATCAGATGATGTTGCACTTTTGATATCACTACCATTATCGGTGGTTATTGAAAAAATTTTTTATTCGATGTTTAATTTTCTAATTTCATTAATAATAACTTTTTTTAATCGAGAAGACATATGTCGACTATGAAAAGACCGAAAAGAGATAACATTCGAAAACATACGGTAGTTTTCATCATGATAATGAGCTGTTATAGCTAAAAAATGATGTCGTCGAGTATTCATTCAAAGGTCAGTTGTTAAAGATATGAACGAAATTGTTTGAAATTTTTCTTTCAACGAAGACTTTCGTTCTCGATACATTGTACCTAAGCGTTTTCGTACAGTTTGTCGCGTTGGACCACGGTAGCCTGGTCTGAGTTTCTCCAAAAGTTCTTTCATACCAGGTCGCCGAAATGTTCCGAAAGATAAATCATCTTTGACAATACATCTTACGGCTGCAGCATCAAGTTCTTTCTTCAAATGTGATGCAATTGCAGATTTGTTTTCTCGATTTACACGTTGTTTCATTTGAGATCGATATAAATAATTATTACAGCCATGCTTGAAACCCAAATTACTTCGTAAGTTACTATCCGAAAACGGATTATTTTTGTATTTCTGTAAGAAGAAAACAGTCAACAAAATTATAAAGTACAACAAATTATTGAATTCTTCATTGCACCACATTTCTGTACTTTTTACTAAAAGGTGATTACTGAATCAGTCTAGATTGAACAGCCTTCTATCATGCAACCGCTCAAGCAATATATGAAAACGAAGCCATCTTACTTGGAAACATATTGAACATTTAACCCTGCCAGTTTCTTTAATGTTGCTCATGTCGAAATAATCGATAGCTCGTTTTGATACAGCTGTTGCGTTGCTTGAATTAGAATGTTCATCGAAAACAGTATCAGCACTAGCTGTTGATATGTTGTGAGTATCGTGTTCTTCGTTCTCTTGATTTTCAGGTGGACCTGAATTGTCAATTTCATCTCTGTTCGAATAGTCCATTTCAGATTGTGAATCAGCATCACTTTTATTATGTTTACTTCTTGACTTTGGCGTTCCTTTGGAAGATTTTCTCGAATTCCGAGAAGCACTTTTCTTCGAAATTTTATTTCGAACAGTTGATTTGCGTCGTGGACTTGCGATCTCCTTCGAACTAATCCGAAATCAAGTTCTTCAACTTGAGCGGATTCCATTACTATCATCGAATGACGGTATTAATTGATTATTTGTGTTATAAAGACTCATTCTTTTCTTCAAGATAATCAATTTATTGATATGTATAAGGTGAAGCAATATTTTAGCTTGTTTACGATGTGATTGTACTTGATTGCAGTAATCTCGACAGCAGTTATAACGGTTTTTTCTTTTCTTTTCTTTTCATTAATGAAATCTGCAATTTACATTCATCAAGGTATACACACGAGGTTTCTCTCTCTCTCTAGTTCTTTTACCATATGTTTGCAATGAACTTAAACGCACTTTAGTAGACGGGTATATCTTCTTTTCTTTCAATTTTGAATTGATTAGGATTGAAATGTTCCAGATTAACCTCAGAAGCAATTCTTAATGACATAATCTGTGCCGTGCAAAATAGATATTTATTTTTGTGAAACTATACGGATTTAATAGAAAATATAAATCAGTCATGTCAATAACGAAATTGCCTCTAGAAGAAACTTTTACATGACCAATGGCATATCAATTGTTTGTAAAATGAATAGTAAAATTTGTGTTTTCAACAGACCATAGATAACCAATTTTGATGTAGACCAGACTTGGACAACACAGTTTTAGGAACGGATTTTTTTATGCAAAAAAACGTATGATCGTCAATATGCTCTTGTAAAAATGTCATCCTGAAGAGTTCATATTATTTATTTTCTAATGAATACTACTCATCGCTGTTACAGAAGTAAACTCAAAACGAGAATAAACTGTGAAATTGATATAAAAATGCACTGAGCCAAAGTCTGTTATCGATAGCTGATTAATATTCTAGTCATTCAGTCTTTCAATCTTCTTGAGGAAAATAGGCTGAGCATTGCTGACATACTCTTGTAGTTAGATTGTGAAGATGAAGATCGAATATTATCAATTTGTTTTTATTTACAACTCTTTTAAATACAAAATTCGTATCACAGATGGAGTAGATACTAAGCAGAGTGAGTATTTAGATATATTTCCATTCTGTTACTTCAGTTATCATGAATGAATCTATTAAAATAAATAGTATTGAGTTAGAAAATTAATCAATTATAGAGAAAAAGGATTCTTCCCTTTTCTGAAAGAAGGAGTCATTTGATTCACTAATATACTGTTGCTTATGCTTTGAACGAATACATCGATTGATAAAATATATATGGCTACTCTGTCGACATTATAATAATATTTCAACAATAATTTGTTTTTTTTTAAAGTAAATAAAAATATTCTTTATTCTCTATTTTAAATTTGTTTTCGAGATAAAGTAACTTTCTTTATCTTTATTTTTTAAAGAGTAAAGATAAAGTAACACCCCTAATCCACAGCCAAGCCTCATCCATGGTCTGCACACTATTTATCAGCGTTTCTTACGCTTACAGAAGCTCCGTGAAAAGTCTCATATCTGTTTCAAACGCACAACCACATGGGTGAAAGTTCACTCACCCACACTCCCTCAAAACAAGCAAAATTGAATACCTATTGAGCTATAGTCAATTAAATAATTTCTTGACTAAAAGAACACTTTGAACGCTATTAGATATGATCACTCAACCTCAATGACTAGATCGATTATCGGGAGATGTGAGTTCGAGTCCTATTTTGATTTTATGATCTCTTTGAATAATTTTTCCGTATTTATCTAAATATATCTATGTGGATATTTCGGGTGGATTGACTCATTGACAAATGAAAAGATTTCTAATTTTTTATTTTTCTTCTTTTATTCTTTCAAACTAATCCTTACAGTCGATCATAAAGGGTTAAGCTCTTTGTCGACTATAAATATATGAAAATTAAAAACTAAACGGTGAAATCAACAGAAGTCATTGAGCTTGATCTAAAACCACTGGTAGTTTACTTGGAATGATGGTTAATCTAAATCACTTTGAGGAAAAACTCAGTTTCTTGGGTGTTTTGGATGTGAAACGAAGGTAGGAATATATATATATAGGAGGCTCCTTTTACGTAGTTGGAATCGATAGTACTCGTGGAGTTCTACTTGGAAGCAGTGTACTCATATTTGAAACGCACATTCACTCGAATGTTCCTAGGAAAAGGTCGAAACCGACTCGAAGATATTTTACGTTTATATTATTTCAATCCAAACATAGATAACAAGTTCATTGGATTTTGATGTATGCAACATAGAAAAATAATATTTACTGAAAAAAAGAAAAGAACGAAGAGGGTATGTGTCTAATAGAGAAAGTAATACTTATCTTTTGTGATATATATATAGCAATATTCAACATATATAAAACAGAGCAAATAAAAAAGAACTTATTCGTTTGGTTTTTTTCCTCAATTTCAATTTTTTTAAACATAAGATGCAAAACAAACCAACACACAGTAAGTGCATCCCATTTATGGAACTTTTCTTAAAAACTATCTTTAGCTATTGTCTTCTTGATTTTGTCAATACTGTTCAATACTGTATCAACAAATCCAATAACAACAGCTCATAAGTCAGGTAAATCAAAGGAGATTTGTTTTCAAGACTCTATTTATGTTCTTCTTGTCTAGGATGGTCTGATGTTGGTAATTTACATGTTAGTCGAACTTTTCAAGGAGCAAGTGTGATGACAGATGGACGAGTATTAGTTAGTGGTGGATCTGGTCTTCCTGGCTGTATTGCTTACGAAATATATAATCCATCTACAAAAAGCTGGACAAAAGGCCAGATTATGGAAGAATGTCGACGCTTTCATACTTCATCTACATTATCCGATGGAAGTATTTTAGTTGTTGGGGGATATGCCTTTGGAACAGGACATTTGGATAATGTTAAGTATACGTCAAATGACGCTGCGGTATACGACGCGTCAAGTGGATTTTGGAAAATGACTTTTCTCATGTGTAGCCCACGGGCCTTTCATACAGCATCGGTACTCTAGAATGGACACGTTTTGGTTGTTGGTGGAGAGGACCCAGAGGCTGCTAAAAGTGCTGAATTATATAATCCATCAAACACAATGTGGACACCAGCAAAAAATATGAATTATCCACGAGTATGGCATACAGCAACTGTATTGTCAGATGGAAACATCTTAATCACTGGTGGTCGGGGTGTGGAGTCTTTGTCGATGAAATATGCTGAAATATATATTTCATCAAAAGAAATATGGAAAGTTGTTGCTAGCATGAACTATGAACGATCTTTACATACAGCTACTTTATTAACCAATGGTAAAGTTCTAATTAGTGGTGGACTGAATGGAGATGGTGATGTTTTAAACAGCACAGAATTATTTGATCCATCTACAGAATCATGGAGTATTGGTGATAATATGAGGCAAGGTTGTGCTCAGCATACATCTACTTTGTTGAAAAATGGAAATGTATTAGTCACTGGTGGTATCGGTCCTCAGTTTGGGCGAACAAATAGTTCTGAACTTTATGATCCATCAAAAGGGGTATGGACACGTAGTGACAATATGCGTCTTGAACGAGCAAGTCATACAGCAAGTGAATTGCGAGATGGAAGTGTCCTATTCGTCGGTGGTAATGACGAAAATCAGGTTACTGGAGTGACAGCTGAACTGTATGAGCTGTCGACAAATACCTACATGTTTATCCGTGCAAAATAAAACAAAGATGACAGTAATAAAAAATATTTTTACGAGCAAAATGATTGTTTTTCCAAAGAAATAGACATAGAACGAGATAAATTAATAAAATCTTTATACGTAATTAACTTATATTCATTGTTTATTAATCAAAACATCTATTTTTGCAATAATCTATATTTGCTTTGAAACTGCTTTCACAAATAAAAATAAAAATGGAAAGAAAACGTATAAATCTTATCAAATCAGTCAACGATAAAAAAACCACAACATATGAAGTGGCTGGCAAGCACATATTTTAGCAACTACAAAGCACGTTGTTTACTTTGCAGTACCTGTCTGTTGAGAAAATCTATTCATGTTCGAATTATAGATATTATTATCATTCCATGATAACATCATGATTCTCGATGAACTTTCGCACATTTTCCTACGGTATTATACGTACACTATGAAAAGACATACGTTCAATAGTTTTTACTAGAAGTTCATAAAATATTCTATTGATATTTTTCTTTTGTTTCTAATCTACTTCGACTAAAAGTGTTACTGATATGTAAATCGCATATTAAAAAAGAATTATGTATAAGAAACATGATGTTTTCTGTCATTAAGTAATTAGTTCATTCGTCAACATATGATGATCAACAATGGTATAAAACTATTTCATGATATTTTTAATCGGATTATATTCCATATTACACTCCTAACTATTATTATTAGAACATGCCATGGTCTGTGTAATTTATTATCATTTACATCGAAACAATTACGATATAATTCATGTGCAATTTACTTTCGGTATTCAACAGTCTCCGATATACTTTATGTTTTATTCGGTGAAACAACGCATCTTATCAAATTACTCAATGAATCGACCATTTTTTCTAAATATTTTATGATGAGTAGCTTGATAATTATAATCTTTGTCGATGATTAATATTTCAGAATCAAAAATTAAACGATGAAATCGATAGAGCTCGTCGGACTTGATCTGAAACCAGTGGTAGTCCATAGGAAACGATGATCGATCAGAATTAATTCTAGAAGAATTCAGTTTTTGAAATGTTTTCCGTGATTTCGGGGGAAGGAAGGAGTGTATGTAGGTGGTTGGGTATAGTTGGATTTGGAATTAGTGCGATTAGAGTTCGGACTCATTGCAGAGGTGAATGTGTCCTGATTCTTCGGAATTCTTCGAACAACTATCGCAGAGTTAAAGCTATCGTATGATTCCTTTAGCCGAGATGAAACCTCGATCATGGTATGCTGGATTCACCGTTTGTTAATTCTATGGCATCGTATTTTCTCGACATAAATCTTTATCGTTGAGAGTTGACTACATTTGAATTTGAGAATTTATTGATGTAGAATATTTTCTTCCGAACTTATTTTATGACGAATGGATTAAGCTCCATTCGAAACTCGCGCGGACCCTCAACACGGAGATGAGGCCTTCAATAGAAAAACCGAATTGAGAAAGTATTTTCGCTGCGCCATACAAATATTCTCTCATAACCTCTCTTAGGAACATTGTATTTGTAATCGTCAAATGATAAAAATAAGTATTTCTGTAAGCTATAGACATAGAACGAGGAAAATTTCAAGTAAGATTTTTTTTATCTAAAACAAAAGTCAACGCAAAACAGAACTACGTTGTAGTTATTCTTTGTATTGTCATATTTAACAAATAAAAAGAATATTGATAATAACATAGGTTATTTTGGGTGATGTTCTTTTTTTCTGTTTAAAAAACAATGACACTACAAAAAATCCACTCACATATATAAACCCTAGTGAAATTCAGTATTTTTTATTATTCTGCTTCAAGAAACCAGCTTAATATTAACAATGAAAGCTTTCATTGCACTCTGCTTTTTATTCGCTTATGTTTATTCTTTACCAACATTTGATGCAACATTAGATTCAGCATGGGGTTTTATACAAACGTACCTATGAAAAACAATATGCATCAAATGCAGAAGAATCAAAACGGTAAGAGAGTTCGTTTTTCATTCTATTTTTAGTATTGGTTTTTATTTCTAGTCGATCAATTTGGGAAAATCATATTTCTCTTATTAGAAAACACAATCTCGAAGCTGATCTTGGTTTACATACTTATACATTGGGAATGAATAAATATGGTGATTTGGTATGTTTTAAAAGAAAACCATTCTCATCATATCTCTATATGAATATATTTATAGAACAATCAAGAATTCGTCAAGCAAATGAATGGTTTCACTCGTGGTGCCAATCTTAGTTTTCCTCCTACTTGCAATACAGAATTTGTTGCTCCACAAAACTTCAAAAGACCAGATCGTGTTGGTATGTATTAAAGAAATTTCTATAATTTCTATAAATCTATCTCCAATAAAATAGATTGGCGTCCAAAAGGCTACGTAACACCAATAAAAGATCAAGGTCAATGTGGTTCATGTTGGGCTTTTTCAACAGTTGGTGCACTCGAAGGACAAACCTTTGCCAAAACAGGACAACTTATTTCACTTTCTGAACAAAACTTAGTTGATTGTTCATCTGCTTATGGTAATGAGGGATGTAATGGTGGTTTAATGGACCCTTCCTTCAAATACATCAGAGACAATAAAGGTATTGACACTGAAGATAGCTATCCATATGAAGGTAAAGATGGTAAATGCCGCTTCAGTGCTAAAAGCATTGGTGCTACAGATACTGTAAGTATTTTTTTCTTCTAGCATTGACAAGAATAATTTGTTTTTTTTTCTTTTCATAGGGCTGTACAGACCTTAAACAAAACAGTGAAGATGCTTTACAAGATGCAATTGCCACAGTTGGCCCAATTTCAGTTGCCATTGATGCTTCGCATACATCATTTCAACTCTATAAATCGGGTGTTTATATTGAACCATTTTGTTCGTCATCACAACTTGATCATGCTGTTTTAGCTGTTGGCTATGATACACAAGGTACACATGAATATTATATTGTCAAAAATTCATGGGGTACTTCGTGGGGTAACCAAGGTTATATCTGGATGGCTCGTAACAGAAATAACCAATGTGGTATTGCTAACTATGCTAATTATCCAAATGTTTAAAAACTTCTTTGAAATCTTTTTCTCCTAATAAGGCTTTGAAGTTTTCGAAATTCTTTAATAAATCAATCTTGAAAATTAAATTTAACTATTCTCACATTCATACATACAGAATTTACTGCTTTTCTCATCATTCTAAGTGCATATGACGCAAAAGAAGAATTATTGTTCTGTTCATCCTTCATTTACAATTAAGGACTTTTCTTTGATGAACGATATACAGACGTTGACGTTTTCCGATTAGCGATCTTAATTAATCTGATTTATTCATTATCGATGATTGAGAGGAGGGAGCGAATGTAATAGTCAAGTAACATCAATAATTCCAACAAAAATACAGAATAAAATTAAATCTGATTAGGTACTCGGTGAATCTTCAATAGTACATGTGATATGAATTGAGTGGTAACGGTAAGAGTGAGAACTATTACCATATAAAACTAAAGTCTTATTCACTTTTATAGACAAAGAAAGATTATCAAATGGCAGGAATTAGTGGTGAGGCTAGCAGCGATGCATCTCCATCTCTGTGCTTCACATTTAATACAACAGCCCAAGCGAGCCGAAGATTTGAAAGGAAGGTATGAATTGATTTTCATTATTTTTCATCAAAAAAAGTTTAACTTTAGGATACCAGATATGTATGAAAGAGTTGCAATACGAATGGTAAAACGTCATATTTCATGAATAAATATATGGATTAACATCTGCTAAACATAGTTTCATTTAACTGATATATTTTTTGTCAAAGAAAAAATATCCAATGTCAAATGAAATCTTGATTTTTACTTCGTAAAATGTCTAATAAAAAAGCAATTTATGAAACGTTTGAGAAGTTGAACAAACCTAAGTATATGGATACCACGTTTTATTGTTTTAAACAATCAATATAATTGTTATCATCCAGTTGTTAAACTTTGCTAAAAGAAATTACAAGTATCTCGAATAAATAGACTTTCAAGAACCTCATACAAGAACAGAAAATATCGTTCAAAATAAATATATAGAATGTATGAAAACTTATTCAACAAAACGGATAAAAGAAACTATTAAAACAGGAGAAAATAAAATGCTGTTCATGGAACTTAACGCAACATGTATAAGTTGAGTTTGGTTAGTCAACAGAGAGAACAGGCATTCATTTACTGATGAATCATAAAAAGAATTTGAAAACAATGTAAAGAGAATATTTATTTTGTTAGAATAAAAGTGTATATCGATGATGAATGGCGTTAAAAGGCAGATTGGCATAATGCTTTTGCCAGTTAAGCATATTAGAAATAGTATAAGCATTATCTTTACATACTTTTTTCTTCTCAATTTCAATTGCAACATTAGTCAGTTGATCGAATTTATGATTTCGTTTTTTATTGTATACTTCAGAAGTTCAGACGAAAAAGTTACATTTTGCACTATATCACTCATCAAACTCGCTTCGCTTTATTTTCTACAGGATGCTGAGTACCGTGACTCTGATGTTCAATTATTTCAAGAAGTTTGCTCTAAAAAATTGTAGTCATAAAATTAACGATACTTTGTATCCTTTGCTGAGGCACAATACTTTCAAATGCGACGTGACGGACAATGACGTTAAATGTAAACCTCAGTTGTTTTAAATATACTTGTCTCGATTTGAGTTTAAAAAGGCGATAGTTTTACCAGCTAACATTATGTTCCACATTTTCTCATGATCATTTCTTTCACACCGCACAATATAAGGCAAAGATTTCAATGTCATTTCCTTAATTTTAGACGCAAGGATATTTGATTCACTGTAATCGAGAGAAATTTATTCTGATTGTGAAAAACAACGATGCAATCATTAATTAATATCGCTAATCGAATTCGGGCATACGCCGTACAATTGAATTTCTTTGAAAACGGGAGCACTCGTTTAGATCAATTTCATTTACGTACTACGATAATTTCTACTCGAGTCTATACGACTCTCCTCACACTCGCCATCATCGTTATTGTCGTAGTTACTTCACTGGTCACTCAATCTGAAGTAAACTATCAAACGTTGCTGAAGAAAAAGTTAACCCAATTATTATGTTCATGCAGTCGTATCACTATTCCATATGGTAACTTTACTTCAACAATGGTCACTTATCATCTTGTATGTTCGAGCGTGTTCATCTCTGGCAATTGGATTCATCATTTTTTTCAGTTCTAATATTGGAAAGTTATATCAAGCTGATTTTCGTGTATTAGCTAGTAGTTATTTTCAATGACTTGCTGCATTTTGTGTTCATGCTGAAAGATTAGTCTGTGATGCACTCGATGGTTTTGATTCAGAAATTCTTATCACTCCGTCTGTTTTTTTTCGGAGGACTATCTCAATAGTTACATTCAAGAGAAAAGTAAATATCTGAAATTAACAACAGAAAATAATCTCCTTCAGCTGCTTCAGCTAGTGCTCACGACTACCCCTGCTAATGCATTACAAACAGCAATACAGACATCTACAATAACAAATGTAATAGGCACCACCATCATATATGCATATATCCCCTTTCTGTTTAATGTTACATTGATATGCAAGTGTGCTTCGCGAAGTAGCTGTTCTCTACCATCTGGTTTCTTTAATCTTCGCAAAATGCAAATCAGCCCATTTCTCCATTTTCAGCAATCGCCTATATATTATGTGCCAGGATTTGCAGTTGAAGCTCTACTGCAGTCGATACTTGAATGTTTATTTGATTGGTCATGTCTCAAAACTATACACGCTTTTATTCCATCTAGCAATATTACCGATGCAACTCCTCTCGACACGAATAAAACTCGATTCACTCCAAACACATCCATCAGAACAATTGTCAGTAGTTTATTTATCGAAAATTGGACAACAGAACAGTCATTTTCCGATTATTATGCACAATTTGCTCCTAACTTGTGCACTTACACATCAGTACATCACAATAATGTATTATATATAATAACCAAACTTTCAGGATTATGTGGTGAATTAAGTGCCGTTCGTCGTTTGTGTATTCCATTTATGATTGAAAGATGGCGCAAAACAACACGCAATACTTTAACAGTACCTGGTCGTAGTGAGTATCAGTATATAAAGATTTCCAGATTTAGTAAATTTTCACCGAATGGGATTTTGTTTTCGAGTTTTTTCACATACACAATGCCTTCAAGCAATGTGACAATAGATACGAACTGAGACAATCGAATCGAATCTCTTCAAGACTCGAACAATGCACACTGATCCATTAGAACGTACCACTTTAAGAATTTCAACTTGGATATATCTTATTCTTTTATGCTTATCAATGATTATTATTGTTCTATTTACTAGTTTAAGTGTTCAAATCCACCATGAGATTATTGAAGATCTATCAATAGTCGACTTCGAATATTTACCAGAAAAATATACACGATCAATTCAATGTCCATGCAGTGAAATAATTATTCCACATTATTCGTTTATATCACTTTCTCCTCAATTTCATCTAGTGTGTACAAGTGACTTTTTATCCGATCTATGGTTTAATTCCATAGCAGAAGCGGGTTGGCCTCAGAAAGTAGACAGAGTTGAAAATATCTTTGTTAGTAGACATAAATACTTTAAAAGTCTTTGAAGTCTGTGTCAGCTGACGAAAACGATCGTATTAGACGCATTATCTATTTTTAATCATTCGTCGTTAATCACTGATCAAAGGTTATCTCGTGCCGAATTGATAGCTCGTATACGACACGCATTCAACCAGTTTCCATTGGACACAGTAGCTGAAGTGACGTATAGTATTGCACTTGTCCAATCTCAAATATCGACTATGTATACAACGGGACAAAGTGATGCCTTCTGGAAATTGTCCCCTTGGCATAATCGATCACATTCAAAGTATTGTCAAACAGTATCAAAACAATTAGGCAAGTGTTCATGTGCATTTGATGGCAAGTGTAAATTAGAAATGATTTTGTACAACTACACTAATTATTTGGATGTTGATCCACTCAGACCAATATTTAAGATCTCAAACATGTTTGTCGGTTGTTTTCCAATTCAATCTCTTCTTCAATCATCATTAGAATGCATGTTTGACCAAACATGTTTGGATCCTCTCGTAAATCAAATGAAGAATATTATCGCGGTAGCACGCAAACTAAACATATCGATATTACAATGGAATTCGACACGATTTTTTCCTAAGACGCTTATTCAAGAAATAATTAACGAAATGAGGATTGAAACATGGAATGAAAACATCAATTATAGTAAATATTATGCATACTGTGCGCCCAAACGTTTCCCCTACTCTTATATATTACGTGACAATGCAATCTATGGATTTATTACAATGATTGGTTTATTTGGTGGACTTTCAAGTACTTTGAGAATTATCGTTCCATCTCTCGTTCATCGGATACGAAACAAGAATCGTACAAGAGGTCAAAGAAATAATATGTCACGTAAGTCAGATTAAAGTATAGGAGCTATTTACAAGGAAGGCAAGGTGAATTGAAAATTATTATGCATGTTCAACAGTAACAACAGAAAGAGTGAGCGATTGTAAATCAGTTTTCTTTTATTTCCTTCAGTTCGTAATCGTTTCGACGATCTTTCTCGATCAATGAAGAAGAAAGTAATTGAAATAAACCTTTTTGAAAGTGAAGTATCATGGAATGATCATCATCGTCGTCGCAAAGAAATTATTTCAACTCGTATCTATATTTTTCTTCTTATGCTTTCTGCTATAATTCTTGTCATCTATACTGGAATTTCCGTACGAATACAAACTTTCGAGCAACTTGCATCTAATCCAAAGTATTCATTTCCATTTCATATGGCTCCTTCGTTTCACTTTCCCTTCGTTACCATCAATTTTGTACAAGTGATTTTGTCGTTCGTAACTCGCTATGGATTAATCTCATTTACTCTGACCCAGAATTAATCAACTACGGTTATGATGATTATCGGTTTTTTATCATACCTCATTTTCGATTACTTTTTTCTTTGTGTACTCTAGTCAGCAACACATTTACTAACGCTTTATCTATTTTTCGTTCGAAGGCGTACATTAGTAAACAAGCAGAGTCAATTAAAATTGTCAATACTCAAATGAAGGATGCTCTGAATCAATTTCGATTATCGGTGCCACGAATATTTTTGCGTAGATTCGACTTTATTCGAGATATGGCTCATGGAAATGGATTTATTTCTCGCACTTCTTCTAACTGGTACAGGGAACCATGGCACCCAGATCGTATGGCAACAATAATAGTTCATGTGGTACCAATGCTTTGTGCGCATCTCCGGCAACTATTGATAAATGGATTATACCTGGATTTCTTGTAGGATGTTATCCACTCGAATCTCTTCTTCGATCAACTCTCGAATGCCTTTATAATCTACATGTATTAATGGACTCAAAAATATCACGCAATTTTCGAATATTACTTTTCACCCTCTCAATTCGACTCTCTCGTCTTATAATGTTACTATTCAATCTCTTGTTGATGTACTTACGTAATTGTTGAGCAAGTCAATCTGATACATATAATCACTACTATTATTGGTCTTTATGGCGGATTGACTATTGCATTGAAGGTTATCGTTCCTATTCTTATGACAATAGTGTAATATCTGATCGTGCGTTGTCAACAGCTGAGGGTTGAGGGTGTGGGTGTGTGAGGGTAAAGGTCAAGATAATGTATTTATCCATCAATCTTGTTAGGCGTTTGAATGTATTTTTACTGTTTTTAAATTTCAAGCAATGAAAGTAGCCTATGCCAGAGCTGTTAAAACTCCCGTGAATTCCTGAACGAGGATTCGGAAATCATATCTCGATTAGCGAGGGCACGATTGTCAGCTTCGATCAGTAGTGACACCCACCTACACCCACCCAGTAACTGGAACAAAGTGACATCTAAAGGAATACTTATCCAAGAATTAGAAAAAGCAGTAAAAAATCGAAAAGATGTTGCATTTGAAAGTTGCAACTCTTGGACGAATCGATTGTATCGTATGTCTCAACATTATGGAGATTATTTAAGATAATAAGAATATATAGGTTTTGTAGAGAATTCAACGACGAATCTTTTGATAAAAAAGTGTTTTTTAAGCATTGAGACATAAGTGAAATATATGGAAAATACGGAGAGGCTCATTTATTCTTCGACAACCGTTAATGTCTAGCGTTCTTGTAAAAAGAAGCCGATCTTGTATTATAAAATTTGATAATTTTATATTGATGCATATACGATTGTAAACTTTTTGGTTTATTTGAGATCACTAATACACAATCGACGAGTAATGTAGGTGCCTGTTAGCGATAGTTTTATGACAAATTAGCCACTAGGAAGTCAAGCAAGTGGTAGTCTGATGGACAACATTTTGTCCGATAGAAGGAGGACGGTACCCCGGAGAGAACGACGGGAGAGATTGAGGGCCCATTGTCCTGAGGCACCACCACCAACAACATCGAAGGAGAGGATGATGGGTCATTCAACACACCACAGTCAACCATGATCATTTACAACAGCAATAAGGGTGGTAACATAGGTGGCCAGGCAACGCCACAAATTGCCGCCCTCAATCTCTCCGATAAGGAGTCTTGATGGAGACATGAGGCCCTGCAGTCTTTCTCTTCCTCTTTTATTTATTGTTTGAGAGGTCCATTCGGCCATCTTGNGTTCTTTCGTGCAGACAGTTGTTGTCAGTTTTTCATCAGATGGCGTGCCAACGGTTTTGGTACAAACAGGATCAACAGCATCAAGTAGCTTTCGATCTTCTGTATCAACCGAAGGAATCGTCCAACTGTGTGCGATGGCAATGAGCACTAAGAGACAGGTTACTTGCATTAAACCGGCCATGAATATTCAGTGAGCGAGTGTTGCTTGTTGAATGAGTTGATTGTTAACTGATTTGATTGATATTCCTGCTCGAACGTTTATATATGCATCGAACGAGAGAAAGCACCTGGCTCTTTATCCCTCTAATCTATTTTTGGATGTTCCCATTGTAGCAAAATCAAGATCGTTCTCGAATGCGAACAACAACAGGTACATCATTAATTGAAGAGATTAGGCGATGAAGCAAACGCTTGCAGATCTGATTACAAGCAAGAGGGAGAAAAAAAGATATCAATCACGTGTATATTTTATTGTCTATTGTATTCTCTGTATAACAAAAAGCGTCACACAAAACCATAAAAGCTTTCAGATTTCGGTACCATTTTTAGAACCCTTCAGGGGTCGAGCAAAATTTGGTTTTATCTCAAACTTTTTTCAATTTCTCTAAAAATGGTTCTAGCCTTCCAGAGAACAGTGCATTTTAGTCGCTTTACCTTCCACTCTCTGTTGGTTCTATACTTGATTACTTATCTTTTTTTTTTATCTGTCAATTCTACCCCTGCCCTATCCTCAGCTACCTATATCTAAGCATATTCTATACTTTCTACTTCTATTCTTAATTTTAACTTTATCCTCAACGGAATTCTCCTACGTCTATCTTCACTTTTACGCCATATCTTATTCTTGGTACCTACTTTGATTAGTGAAACATCGATATCTTCGAAATCAGATTATCAGTGATTCGAAGAGTTTCACCTGAGGACCATTTGCACTTTCAACGGAAAAATCTAATTATGATAGGGATATGATAGGAGTCTAATCTCAAAGTCATGACAGCATTCACGCTCAAGCTTTTCACAAATCGTAAGTTAAAATTTTTGAATGTGTTTATAAATGCATAAACTAGTTTGCTTTCAAATAATACGAAAGTTTATAAAAATTCTATTCATAGAAATACATTTTGAAGTCACTATTAAATAAACTGAACACAAGTTCAGATATAGAAAATGATTTTCCCCTGATTCCAATGCAGGATTGAAAACAAGATTTTTAATTGTCGAGTTTTGACAAGGTGTTAGTCAATTGATTTTTGCGAAGACATCTGCATTAATCTCTTGCGAAATAGTATATTCAACAATCGAAATATGCACAGATTCTTGCAAAGCTCAATACATGCTTACAAGTAGCAAAGAAATATCACATTATAAATTGTTTTGTAAATTTGGAAATATTGTTGGCATTTTCATTACAGTTCATCTA